CCCCCCGTGTTTCCCTCCGCGCACGGGTCACCTGCCTGCTCACCGCCCCGCAGCAGGAACGTAATTCGGGAGCAGGCTCTATGTGCACTCCCCTTCCTGCCCGCGGCACACACCAGCAGTGAACGAGCCCGCCGGACGGATCACCCGGGGGGCGTGATATCGCTGCTCGTCTAGCTGGGACAGGTTTGCTTACTGCACACGGGAATCATGGGCTGGATCATGTCCCCCCCAAATTCAAATCTCGGGGCCTGACCCCCAGGACCTTGGCCGGGCCTGTATCTGGACACTGGATTCTCACCGAGAGGTGATCAAGGTCAACAAGGCCACCAGGATGGGCCCTGCTCCTCTCTGGCTGCAGTCCCGTAAGAAGAGAGACCAGAACACAGACACGCACGGAGGGACGACCGTCTGCATGACCAGGAGAGGCCTTGGGGGCACCGGCCCTGCCCCGCCTGGATTGGGGGCGCCCAGCCTCCAGACCGGGGACAGTGAGGTGTGCTTTTCAGCCCCTGGCCTCCGGAGCTTTGTTAAGGCGGCTGCGGCAGCTGGGGGAGGCACCTGGGGGCTCAGTCTGCCTTCGGCTCAGGTCATGATCTCAGGGTCCTGGGATCGTGTTCCGCATTGGGCTCCCTGCTCAGCCGGGAGCCTGCTTCTCCCTCTGCTGCTCCCCTGACTGAACCCCTTCGGGCGTCATTTCTGTGAGCAACACAAGGACATGTCACCCCGTGTGATGGAAAAGTACCCCTTCCTAGCCACAGCCCGTATCGTCCTCCTTCCATCTGATAACACGCGGAAAGTGCAGCGTGTACAGAAATGAATCGTAAACACAGGAAGCATAAGTCAAGCTGTCGCCTGACCCTAAAAATACCCAGGGTGGGGAACACACAAAGGGGCAGGACGGCACCAGTGTTCCCGAGGCAAGTGGCTCCCAGGAAACCGGCCGGGAGTCTTCTCCGCCGGCTTTGCGATGGAAACAGAAACCCGCAGACGGGGCGCCTCCCTGCGCACCACAAAGCGTTCACTCCGAGACCCGTGGCCACAGGACGCCCCAAGCACTGGTGCTATCCTGTTCCGCACCCCCTCACACACCGTGGCTTCTGCCTCCAGTGCCCAGGGCCCCGAAGCCACTGCATCTGCTCACCCGGGAGGCCAAAGGGGGCTACGCCCAGCAGCGGGGGAGGGGGGGGTCGGCACACAGCAGGGGTCGGCACATCCAGGAGCAGAATCTCCATCACGGGTGACATGTGGGCCAGACAGCAAATTCACACTTGGGTGTCTGGGGGAGACGGGGGGTCCCAGAAGCCTGGGCTGGTGGACACGAAGGGGGACCTGGGGCCCAGGTGCACACATCAGGGCAGCTTGGACCTGCAGGGGGCACAGGGAGCAGCTGGTGCCCTCAGCCAGGGGTCAGCAGCTTTGCCAGTGGCAAGCAAGGGGCCCGCCAAGCTCTGAGGGACGGCCAGGAGCACGGCAGGCTGCAAGCCAGGAGCCAGGGATAGAGAAGCCTCCAGCAAGACAGAGGCATCTGCCAGCATAGGGTCTCTGGCTGGTAGCCTGAGGCTAGGAGGACGGGAAGGAGGAGATCTAGAGAGATCCAAAAGGCCGGACGGGGTGGGGGGAGAACCCAGACCAGTACAGCCTTGTCCCCTCTCCTGTCCCCTCCCCATGTGTTCCATCCACACTCTAGGCCCTGAGGTGAAGCACAGACAAGCAAAAGGGACCCAGACAGGACCCCGCACTCCTGGCGTTAGCCTGACCCACCCCCGTCCTCCTGACTCCTAACACCTGTGCCTGGTCCTGCTAGTCCCTAGCACAGGGTTCTCCCTGCCATGCGTCCTCTGTTCCCCAGGACCGTGGGCCTGACCCCCCAATGACGTGGTCTGTAGGCCACGCGGGACAAGGCCGCAAAGCCCTGTGAGCTCCGATGGCCTCGCTGTCACCTGCAGAGCCCGCTCCGGACTGTCCTGGCCCCCCGTCCAGCCAGGCCTCCTTGCCACGGTGACCCAGGGGCCCCAGGCCTCCGTCTGCACCTCAGAGGGCCCTTAGGTACAAGCTGGAAATGAAATTTCTCAACAAGGGCCATCGGATCCCGCTTTCCGACTCCCGGCCCTAGCAAAGGAGGCCCAGGGAAGAGCCTGGTGCCACACACAGTCCCCTCCTAGCTACTCGACCAAATCCATTTCCGGGGAGACCTAAGAACCACGGGGGGCTCGTACTTGTGGCGACGGGCCCCCTTCCCACGCCTGTGGGTGCCCAGAGGCATCTTCTGAGTCTGAACACAGCGTGGGCAACAGCTCCCCAAACACACAAAACAGCATCCAGCCGGAGGGCCAGCACGTCCGGGAGCTCGCCGCACACCCAGGGCTGGCTCCCGGCCCCAGCACGTGGGCGCTGAGTCCAAGCTTGAGTGTCAGGGCCTCCTGCCTGCCCCCCACCACCTCCCTTCCAGAACCCACCGCCCAGCTCCCGAGGGCCACACCGGGTCCCCTCCGAATGCCCCCATGCCACCTGCTCCGGGTGTTTCCGCAGACCCCGAGCGGTGAGACACACACACAGGTGCCCTCGGGCTCGGGCCTGGAGGGGAGCAGGGCTTTGGGGCAGGGGGAGGCCACGGGATCCCCAAGGCCAAGCCCTCACCCGCACCCGTGCTCACGAATGGCATCATGCCACACCAGCTCACCCAGTCGCCCCTAACCCCGTTGGGACCCTCACTCAGCTTCAAGTCCGCAGACACAGGGTGACCTCTGAGGCCACCCAGACACTGCAGACGGCAGACCCGGTAGGCACCCAGTCGTGGGGCTCAGGGCCGGCCCCTGGGAGCATGGCCTCTCCCCACAGGCAGCCGCTCACACACACCTTCAGGCCAGGTCCTGGCCCCTCCTCTCCCCTGCTCCCCACACTAGCCCTCCTCCAGGGCGACCTCCAGGGTCAGAAGCAGTGTGGCCTCAGGGCCCCGGAAAGGGCTTCAGGATCACCAGTTTTCCCAAAGAAGAACCACGGGCCACCGAGCCGGCGCCATCTGGCTTCGACCTCCCAGGACAACGAATCGCCCCCAGGATGACTGAGCACCCCTCGGAAGCTCCCCGCCTGCCTGCCTCACCCAGCACGGCCCATCCTGGGATCCCTCGCCCACCGCAGGTCCGCTGCCCCCACCAGCTCCTTCAGGACAAAGATGTCACCCTGTCCCTCCCTTCCTTCCTGTGCTAGGGCCCCACACAGAGACCCAGAAAGCGCAAAACTTTCAAAACAGGGCAGTTGCATAAATAAATTCCTGGTGCGGAAGGAAGGAGGGAGGGGATGGGAAAGGGAAGGGAGGAAGAGGAGGAGAGGGAGAAGAGGGGGG